CGGTCTGAGGGTACATGGTACGGTTTTGAAGGTGGAGTGGTAATTACGGTGTTACAGTTGAATGGTGCTGTGTTGCATCTTCATGGTGCAATATTATTATTGTTGTAAAAGTAAATAGTGACAAATGTGCATGCTATGGGCTGATATGGGATCATATGGTATATGATGCAAGGCATACATGGTATTGTTGCATAGTAGATGGATGAGTGGTTGGATATCTCATACTGCGGTAATAGTGTGTCACACCATAGTTGCTTTCAGTTGGCTGTGTTGGGTTGTTTGATCAAATAAATAGGTGTCCAATCATATACATCACAAACTATCCCAAACACAAGGAAAAAACAAACATACCGATCACTGATAACTACAGAACATAAATTTGGATGGATATTGTCCTGCCATGCACAAGCAGTGGTTGTATACTGTTTTACATTGTGGTGGGATGTGTTCCAGCACTGCATTGCAACGTAGATGAGATACCTCGTGTTGCTCTGTGATCACGGCTATGAAGTGCCGCAATACTGATGTCTAAAACAATTCATGAAACCTCCTCTGCCGCAAAAAAAGGAATTAGACTTATGGCCCCTATATTGATCCACGTGGTACAACTGTTGCGTCGGCTTGTTGATTTGTTTTTCCCCATGCATGCACATACACGAAAGTCAGCAAGCGCTTTTTGGATCTTTTTAGCAGGTTTGCTTTTTTTCACGTTCACTACATATGCTTCTTGTAGCCAGCCTATTCGGCGAAATCACTTCTGTTGTTTCAGAATCCCATGGTTTCCTAGTTTTGCTCTATTGAGGACCAACTTCATGTACATGTAGTTGTAGTACCGAGGCCTTTTGCTAGGGGCACTTTGCTAACTGTTTGATTTTATCTCAAGGGTTGACCAAGTAGCCAAAAAAATGCTACATGGAATAGAATTAAAGGGGTCAAGCCTCCAACCAATCAATGAGATAGCTTGCTTTGTTTCTGAAGAGTTTTTGTTTCTTCGGGTTATTTTTTGCCTTCTGACTTCGGGCCGGTCCCTTTGGTATTGTTTGGGCATTATTAGAATTATTGATTTCCATCATGTTGAGCTGGTATGTGGGCAGTGCACGCCCTATTGTTTTTGAAACTACATCCAAAATCTCAACGGTAGAGAAAATCCATGAGCCCTGAGAACAAGGCGTTTGGGCAAACCGGCTGCTTTGGTGCTGTCGTTTTTCGGCGGTATATCAAAAAAGATGCACATGCCAGCATGCAATCAAACTGAAATCAAGGAAAACATGAAGGCATCAAGGTTTGATCAGTGTTGATGCACATTGTTGTCTTGTATGTATTGTATGTTTTATTTTTTTGCTGTGCTATTTTCAACTGGGGAGGCCTCTAATTGTTGTGACTTGCCTTGTCTCAAACGAGACTGTTTCAACACTATCTATTTTGTCCATTCCGCTGTTGCGACGTGCCAAACTTATGTTGCCATCTGTCGTGATCTGCGCTTGTCCAGTTTATTGAACCAATATTTTGCAGCGTGTTCGTTGCCAACCTTCCCAATGTGTAACATGTGTGAGGCAGCTGACAATAGATTTTTGGGATCGAAACCTGCTACACATTCTTAGCAAATATAGAAAAATAAACAAATTACGTGATCAAATAAAGCATAGATCACGAAATCAGAAATCAAGAAACATAAGAAACAAATAAAAAACAACCAGGACAAGATCTAGCAGTACACTGCAGTATTTTTGAAATAAGTCTCCCATTTGCCCTTATAAGTAAGCACGCTGTGTGCCTCAAAAACTTTTTACAGTGACTCTCACTTTGAGAAAACCATGCCAAACTAATCATTTTATGTAATCAAGTTGGCATAACCCAAACTGCGTTTTTTTTTTGCAATACTGAGCTATAGGGTGCACACAAGGAAGAAAAAAAAGACATTCTGAGGGCCCTGGGCCGATCTACTTCGCCGGACTTGTTCATGGATCTTGACAAGAAAAAATCCGTCGGTGCAAGGATAGTTGGTTGAAGTTCAGGGTCTTTGGTTTGGATAAGGTGCCACTACATAGTATAGCCTGCAGTTTACAGCTAATCACATGCAACAAGATGTAGCAAGTAGCAAGGATTTTCAAGCCATGGTATCAAACAACACCATGGGATAGGCAATATTTGTCTTTCCTATTTGATAGCCCCGGCTCTGAATAGAGGGTTGTAGCTTGTAACTTGTTGTCCAATGTTCACGCACGAAAGCAAGCAACATCTCCAACTTAGCCACCGGCAAGCCACTGTACCACCGTACCACCATGCCACTGTACCACCATACGCTCGGACCGTACCACCGTACCCTTGGACCGTACCACCCTACCCTCGAACCGTACCACCGTACCGTACCTCATTAGCGTCGTGCCGTTCTGAGTGTACCAGCGTACCACCGTACCGTACCACCGTACCCTCGTACTGTACCACCGTACTGTACCTCATTAGCGTCGTGTAGGGCCGTGCCGTTTTGAGTGTACCAGCGTACCACCGTACCGTACCACCGTACCCTCGTACCGTACCACCGTACCGTACCTCATTAGCGTCGTGTAGGGTCGTGCCGTTTTAAGTGTACCTATTCATTCTAAGCTTAGGTACACTCAAAACGGCACGACCCTACACGACGCTAATGAGGTACGGTACGGTGGTACGGTACGAGGGTACGGTGGTACGGTACGGTGGTACGGTCCAAAGGTACGGTGGTCCGGTGGTACGGTGGTTCGGTTTTATGGTGGTACGGTTTTATGGTGCAATGGTATACATGATGCTACAATAATATGGTACGACATACGATGGAATGGCAGAGTGATGATGCAGTATAAGATGTACACAATATATAGCACGGCACGGAATCACAAGAACATTGAGCAAAATAATAACTGAATCAAACTTTAACCTTATATTTGTTGGGGGATTTAGGGCCAAATTTAGGGGGTGTGGAACCAAACTCACTGCGCAAATGGATGCAAATGGTGGGCACAACTGCAATTTCACTGGTCCCTGTGGATCCATGCAGAGGATAAGAGTGTCACTTGGGCACTGCCAGGGGTCTAATCCATGAGCGTTTGCTCAAGGAATTCTAGGATGTGAGAAGGTCCTTATGGGCGAAGTGTGCCGTGATTGATGGATTCTGATTAATTTTCTGAGATAATGGTCCCATGTAAAATATGCTTCTATCGGACCCACCCCCCTGAGAACGCGGGGCCGCCACCCACACCCAAACATTTTCTTGCAGAGTCTTGTCGGGGCAAAGCTAGAGTTGTTGACTCACATGCTTGGTGTTGGTGTCTAATATTTGAAAATATTTGTTGTAACGACCACTCAACCCAAAGCATGCATCATGGGGGTACACCGAGCATGCCTCTGTGAAAATGTGCGTCTTGTATCGTAGCGTCTTGTGTTTAAACCTTCGTTTGCTTTCTTGCTGATTACATGTCCTTTGGCTGCTCGATGGATGCTGTCAGCCAGTAATCCGATTCAGATGAACATGTTTCCTTTTAAGGTTGACAATGAAAATTTTGGTGATGAGTGCTGTCTCCTCGCTACTCGGGGAAGATTGTGGACGTGATTTGCCACCCTCAAAGGAACTAGGATATTTTGAAACCATCCCCTGACATCACCGGTACCACCACCTCAGCAATACAGTCTCTACACATGGTGCAATTACAAAACATCAGAGTTGGTGGTTGCCCTGAAACTCACCCCTAAAACTATTTGCACATGCAATGCAACAGGTTGATTTTTACCTTTCTTTTCTTTGCTCACTCGATATCACTTGATATCAAATGTTGATGGTGTTGTTGAGACAAAACAAGCCAAGTGTCCTTCAAATCGTTTACATGGGTTTTTGAAAATGTTAAACGTCCAAATAATTTCAATATTCTTACGTTTGTCAGTTTGTCCTCAAGCCACGCCCCGTGGCCCGGGCAAAACACAACTTGACACAAATCTCACCATGACCAAGCTCTCGACCACATGCGTTTAATCCACAGTGTGAAGCAATAAAACTGATTCGAATGGTTAATGGTACATCAAACGAAAACTCAAACATAATTTGGCAAAAACAAATTTCTAGTAGGCTGCTGGAAAATCTGATCAGGACAATGTAGCGAAATTCGCTAGCATAATTCAGAACCAAAAACGTCTGAACACATATTTTCATGTATGTTCAATCAAACTGCCCCTGCAACCACTGCAACGGGAAGCAGTCGACATGGTAAAAAAAATGTAAAGAACATAAGATATCCAAAAATATTTGTATCAGCTGTTCGTACAGTTGTGTGCCGGTGTTCTGCCAAAAAATATATCACCCACCATCTTTTCTGAATGAAAATTAACAGGTTTGAAAATTCTCATCATCCTTGGAGTCAACAACCCATATATAATAGCCAACAACCACACCACTCAGGATTTATCGGTTTGATCCCAAAATCGATTGTCATCAACGGTGTCACCCTTGACAAACAAAATCACATCATCTTGAATGCATCAAGCTAATACACATAATTACAGTACAAACCAAGAACTGGAACATTCATAGCAACAGTTCCCTTCAATTTGCCTTGGTTTCCTTCCTTTGCCGCTGAGTACCAACAATATTACATTATTGCACCAAATTCAATCAACATACAGCATGCTGTACATCATCATCATCATATACCAAACTAAATCCCATACATACCCTAAAAAACACAATCATCACTCTAAACAATGATAAAAGGTATCAGATGAGAATAGCATATAGACGCGCAGTACAGATAGATGAAAAACATTAAACATCACGTAACTTCAAGTGGCCTCCGAACCCACTATCAGTCATCAAATAGGTGATAAATATCTTTAGCTTATCAAATGTCCTTTCTCACCAGGACATTATATTTATATATATTTATATATATTATATATATATGTATATATATATATATATTATCGCACTACACCATCGCACCATCACCTCCTACTACCGTACCATCGCACCTCCCATGCTACCATCGCACCTGCCACTGTATCATTCCACCGCACCTGCAACCGTACCATCGCACCACACCATCGCACCTCACATCCTATCATCGCACCTTCCATCGTACCATCGCACCGTACCATCGTACCATCGCACCGTACCATCGCACCTCACATCGTACCATCGTACCATCGCACCGTACCATCGCACCGTACCATCGCACCTCGAATCGTACCATCGCACCGTACCATCGCACCTCGCATCGTACCATCGCACCGTACCATCGCACCACCGCACCCAACCATCGTACGTACCCAACATCCATCATACATCCCAAAACGCATTTACACCTATCTTAAACTTTGATAATATATATAGAGAGAGAGAGAGAGAGAAATTTGCCAGAACCCTTTGAAGGATTAGTTCCTGGCTGTTTTCCCATGTCCTTGTCGGACCGTAGTCAGTTTGAATTGGCTCGGGCGAAAGAAAGAAACCTAATCATGGAGTACTCATGCGTTTTGAAGTTTTCTGCTGCCATGAAGACGTTTCACTTAGGCTTCAAGAACTCCTCAAGACATCATTTTTGCACTTTCCTACCTGGTGATTTTTTAGAGCCCTACTCAAACGTTGCCTTCATCTTGAGCTTGATGTTGGAGAAATGCATAGGTGGACAGCCTATACCAACGGAAGGATCCAAGAATCAATCCAAGAATCAGGAGGACCGCTTCCTAACAAGCGCCCTGCTCTTTCAGAGTTGCCTGTCGCAGACCTGTGTTCCCGTGCCCGGCAGCGGGAGAGGCAAGGCAACTTCTCCTCCTGTGCTGGGACGACTGAATTTCGACCCGTTTAGATTGACGGTATCCTCATGTCCTATTTGCGAACTCTACAGATTTCACAAGGAAGCAAGCCATTTGCACATCCTTAGACCAGTTTGATCGAAGGGAAATTGACCAGACACTCATGCCATTTTTCTGAAGGTCTGGATTTCCGACAGTCTTTGGGTGGCAAAATCACATGATCCCTTCCAAAAGAATATGTCTAGACCTCACCACACCCTGGAATTCCCTGGTTTTGCTCGCCCTTTGAACCAACGTATCCCAACTTTTCGATAGAGTTGCCTATATGGGGGGTTAAGAACCCTTTCTTAGATGGTTCAAAACCCAGAATTTGGTGAAACCCTCCATGTTTGTCGCTGAAATGATCCCTATCTGCCCTATCTGTTGTACATCCCGATTCTTGTTATGAAGTTCTCCATTTCTATTGCTTGAATCAACTATGGAAAATCACCATTTTCACTGGGAAAATCACCATTTCTAATGGGAACATCACCATTTTTAATGGGTAAATCCACTATTAATGGACCATTGTCTCAGACTTTTGGTGAGTCCCGGCTCCTCAGCAGCGCACTGCTCTTTGTCGGCGCGCTGACCCAAGGCCACCAGATCCATCGCAGTGTGGCCAACCAGGACCTGGTTGGAAGTTTCGGGGATTTCCAGGTGAAAACTGCTGGATTTCAACCCGGGTGCCTGGATGCCACTGGATGCTACCCACCAAAAAGACCCCTGGATTTTTTTTCGAGCGACATCCGTGAACATCAAAAATGCTTCCACTGCCCCCACTATTTAACCGTCCATTTCTGTAATGCATTCTTCTGAGCCAGACCCATTTCAGGATTAGCGCACAAAGATCGAGTCTCAGGTGGCCAACACTGGGGTTCCTACCTCTTCGCCTTGTGGCTCCTGGCGACGTCTTTTTCAGCCATGGTTCGGATGATGTGTGATCTTCCAAACTGTAAAGCTAAATGCGGGTTGGTACAATCAACATCAATCAACAATCGATTGAATCATGAGTAACAATGGGGCGATTGTTTATATAACAAGCGATTTTATGGCTACCAACGGTAAAGTGGAGATGATAGCGATAGCAACAAAGACGTGAATCTCTCCACAGAAACGGGAAATCATAAACCAATAACAGATTGGTAGTGCTTCCAAAAACCAAAGGACCCCGGCTGCCTGCTGCACCATCCAATGAGTTTAGATGAAGTACTAGTGAGACCGCAAGGTGGACCTTCAGTTTTCCAGTAAGTTTCGGAGAGAGCACCCATTTTTCGATGCAGTACAAAGCCCAAAAATGTCCTCAAATATTGAAAAATGTCGAGTTTTCAGGTTTGGTACGACTAATCACACCAGTGTACCATGAATATCCATTTAATATCCATGAATATCCATTAATATCCATGAATATCATGAATCACATCACAGAATTCGAAGTTTTCGAAAGACTTGCAGTCATTGATCTCAACCAGTGCCGGTCCTCTGGTTTCGCCTCGGCAGGAGTGGTATTTTTTAGCGCGTTTAGTAAGAAACCGCAAATGGTAAAATGAGGATGGGTAGTATACATTGTGATGATATTTGATCATATGTGATGGAAATTGATGATATGTGATTATATTACGATTTACCACTGTATTTGGCAAGAAAATTCGACTTGAACACGGATCATGGTGTTCCAATTGCAGATATTTGGGGGGTGCGGGTGCCTTATGAAGATACCAAAAAAACATTACAAAAACCGTTTAAGCGGCATTTGGGGAATTCCACGTTGTACCATCCCAGAATTCATCAACCAATCGCCACGCCTCCAGCGGCGGACCCGGACCGGCGTCCACGGCATCCACGGCAGCCACGTCGTCCGTCACCGGAGGCGAAGTCGAAGCCTGGAGGATGGGAAACTTGGAAATGGGGCACAATAATCTTCAGTAAATGTTAGTAAATCAACATTAAATTCACTAAACCAGCCTCAAATTTATCGATGTTTTTTCTCAGTGGGTGGTTTTTGTACCAGCAAAATGTTGGTGGTTTTGTTGTTGTTTTCATTACTAACATTACAAGGGTTCCCCCCGGAATCTGGGCGACTTATGGCGACTTCCATTTTTGGGCCGGTTTGGCTGGATAGGGCATCGGAAGCCGCACCTCGGCTGCAGCATCTTTCACCTGGAAACCAGGCCATTGGTTTCTGTGAAAAGTTTTTTCAAGTACGGTTGATTTCAATTTTTGATTCTTACCCACATTGTTTTGCAACACTATAACTGGAAGAAGATAGAAAAGGGAACAACGGAATCAACTAGTGACTAGTGGAACTGTTGGATGAAAGTGAACCAACAACCCACCTCTCGATTTCGAAGGCTTCGCACCATGTCAAGGACACCTGCACATCACATCACTTTTACTTGTTAATTTCGGAAAAAAAATGAAATCATGAGAAGATGGAATATGCGAACCCAGACTTATTTGACCCGACATCGAATCAAACAGCCTCTCCAAAATGGAAATTGACATGCAACAATTTCAATTTTGCCCCTTATGTTGAATATGTTGCGAAGGAATTCCTTTTACTCCAGTGTTTCAACGCATAAAAACCCCCACTGCACCCACTTCGGCCTGGGCAAATTCATGACAATGATGGTAACCACCCACTGGCGTTTGTAGTGAAATTTATTAATTTTTGGATGAAAAATCGGAAGTCTTGAGATGCAATGACAAAAATGGTTTCGATGGTCCAATGCAATAGCTGGCCGCAAACATTGTTGGCACTTTGCATGTCGTGCATGTTGTTTTTTTGCAGCCCGAAAACATTGACGAAAATCGAATTTGGAAAGGCGCAGCAAGAATTAGCAAATCACATGGAACCATAATTTTTGATTTTTCACGTCATTTCATGGTAGTTTTCACATGGCGTCCACATATGCATTAGCCGTCTCCATGGTAGTTTTTTGGTAATTCAGACTGGTCCCGAGTGGGTTCCAAACTCATTTGACGCTGAGTTCCAACGATGGTATTGAATGGTTCATAACCATTCGTTTAAGTTTTTTGCATGGCATCGTGCCATTCTTGCAAACTGTTTGATCAACAGTTCAAAATAAATTTGAAATGGGTATGAACAATGTAATGGCATGGACAGTTATTCAATGTACAATATTATATAATATATATAAATATAAATCAAAATATATCGGAACAGTTCTCACACGGTTCTGTCTGAACGAAAGTGAATGATTTCTGTTGCAACCACAACAGGGAAACACCTTTTAAAGAAGAACATACGTTGCAACACTTTGGGTTTTTTCAAATTTCCTTCCAGTGGCACTTGAAAGCATGCTGATCATAAAATCAACCACAGCACTGCCGTGTGCACCCCAAAGAGGCGTTGCAGCTGCAGTGAAAAAAAAACTACACACACGAACTGCCAAAATCATATGTTAATGTCGAAACACGGAGCGCACCAAAACCCTGCCTTTACCAAGGCAATTCCAGCCACTTGTAGCAAGGTTCAAAGACATACGTTATATCCTTGCAGCACATGACACTTCTGATTTATGTGTGTGTGTGTCATTTTTGCACAGGGTGCCATGCTGACTCACCATTCAAACCACAACAGGTTTGTGCAGCAAATGTGTTCGTTGCTGGGTTTAAACAAACGACTGCAGTCGAAGAAAACACCTGGTCATACAGACATGACCCAACAAGATACAACTGGGTGAGTTAAGCCCTGCTCTTGCAAAGACCTTCAGAACTTGCGTGGGGTTTATTGTACCTTGCCTCAGACCTTCCACCTTGCCAGCATGTTGTGAGACACCTTGCAACTTACAGCTCTCAGCCGACCCAGAGGAGCCTGATCATGTTGAAACATTTGGTATCATACCTGGTTTGTCACGAGGATCTTTCGAAAAACATTCCCAGGGTCATCTGATCCTTCAAGGACTTCACGAGAAACATCACACATACCAAGCATGCACATCAATGACTTAAGGCGATTGCAAGGTAGTTTCTTTGTGCCAATGTCAGCTGGATTTGTAGCTCCAGCTGCAACTGCAAGCTTGATCTGTCCTTATCCAATCAAATCTTGGAGCCAGAGGATTCGGCATAAAAGATGCCTGACACGGCCCACTCTTTGCCGCTACAGAATGCCACGTGCCCCTGAGTTGTCAGGAAATTTGAGAAGGGGTGACACGAAAGGTAGTTGTGTCACAGGGGACGCGGGGGATCACTCAGTGCGAAAGCCGACATGCGACCGGGCCCTTTTCTGCTGACACCAAGCCTTAGGCTTGTCAATATGGACGTCATGCGCTAGCAAATCACCGCTTTGACAGAACGAAGGGAAAATTTCTGTCCAACCGAAGCATGGAGAAGCGCCGACGTTCCTTGGCTTCACCCGTTTGCTTGCAAAAGTTAAAGTGACGTGGCAAATGGATGTCGAAAAATCCGAATCGCAAGTCGAATGATGATGATGATGATGATGATGATGAGGATGATGACGATGATGCTGATGATGAGACACTGCGAAGGGGCTGCTGCGTGAAGAGACGCACAAGGCATGTGACGAGAGTTCACTTGGGGGGGGCATGGAACTGGACATTCAGAGCAGAGCGGAGATATCTGGATCCGAAAAGAGAGCACCCCACGATGTCCATGGTTGCTCATCACTTAGTCCATTTAAATAGCCATTTGGAGGTATACATTGTCAGACACGCGCATCGTGCAAGGAAAAAAAACACGATCAGTGTTAGCACAAACTCCAATGTCTCTTTTTGCGGTACCTATGGATGCTCGAACCTGTCACTTTCATCGCACTGTGGGGTACTTGGAAAATGGATGTCGAAAAATCCGAATTTCAAGTCGAATGATGATGGTGATGAGGAGGATGATGATGATGATGATGTTGCTGATGATGATGATGGTGATGATGCTGATGATGAGGCACTGCAAAGGGGCTGCTGCGTGAAGAGACGCACAAGGCATGTGACGAGAGTTCACTTGGGGGGGGCATGGAACTGGACATTCAGAGCAGAGCGGAGATATCTGGATCCGAAAAGAGAGCACGCCACGATGTCCATGGTTGCTCATCACTCAATCCATTTAAATAGCCATTTGGAGGTATACATTGTCAGACATACGCATCGTGCGGGGAAAAAAACACGATCAGTGTGAGCACAAACTCCAATGTCTCTTTTTGCGGTACCTATGGATGCTCGAACCTGTCACTTTCATCGCACTGTGGGGTACTTGGAAAATGGATGTCTGGCACACACGTTTTTACTTGGACCACAGGGCCTCAAAGTAAATTGCATAGATTTCCATGCAATCATGTGATATGGAATGGAGACATGACTGAATCGATTTGTGCGTGTCATCCCTGCAAGTGGCCATGCAATAGTGCAGCAACTGAGAGTAGAAAATTCTTACACTTCTCCCCAGTCCAGAATCCTCAAGCTGCTTCACAATTTTTCTCACCGCCCTTGCGCCTCTCACGCACTTCAACCAGAAAAATCTCCAACCAGGTGAAAGGACGAGGAGTTTCTCAATCATTTCTGAGTTTGCTGCTGTGCGCAGCCTGTTGTCCAGTGCTTCACCACCTCTGACGGACAAGAAACTTGGTACGGCCTAGGTTGGGAGTCCCAGCGGCGCAAAACTGCTGAGAAGCAAAACGGGGTGAGATGCATTTGTATGTCTTTGGATTTTTTTCGCAGCATGCAGCAATTTGTCAGCGTGGCTAAGCAGCTGTGGCATGAATTCGATGAAATACGGAACCTGCGTTTAAGCATGGAGCTGGTGGAAATTAAAAAGCAACGGATTCAAACGCTTCAACTTTGGACGGAATGGGAGAAAGAATTGAAAAGCGATGAACGGGAGTTGCATAATGGACTGCATGGCAAGATGGCCAATGTTTTGAGGCAAGAAGCTTTTACTGATTGAAAAACTGGCGACACATATCAACTGGACTGACACGCATCGTGAACTGCGGGATGGATTTAAATTGACTGGGCACGCTGCACCGTCGGGAATTTTCAAGAAGTTAGGCTCGTTCAAAAGAACAATTGATGTGGATGCAAAATTTCTCAACCCGTTTCTTCTTGGAAAAGTGGGATCACCACAGCACACCGTGTGGAAATGTAAAGTACATCTTCCATGGACGCCGTCCACAATACAATGTTTGAACAATCTCTGTGGCTGATTGAGTGGCCTCAAAAGTGAACCTTAAGTTGCCACCATTTTTTTTTTCCTCGAGTGTGGCCGATGTCGCGCTAAGGCTCGGTCCTTACATGAGCATAAGCAGAAAACACATTTGTACAAGGGCAATTCAAGCCCATTAAGGCGGCAAATCGATTATAACTGGACACAGAAAACACAGGCCAACCAAACACGACGACCTGCAAATCCCCCAGCCAGACTTGCGTTTCGCCAGCGGAAACAGCGAAGCAAACGGCAAAACCAAACAAACAACCAAACCAAAAACGGGGCCAGAGCCCAAACAAAAACACCCACAATCGATTCGCCATGGGACGCAGTGGCTTGTCCACTGCATCATAATCAAAAACGTGCTAATGAATTAAAAATCACGGCTTGCAGGCAAACATGAAGGCTTAAGCCTGTGAGTTTTACTTCAGCAAGTGTCAATCTGTACAAGAAAGCTGTGCTACAACCTAAGCATCTCTCAGTGTCCTCTCAGATCAGCTCGTCAGAGGGCCTTCATGGACAGAGTCGTCGCCAGATCTGTCAACCATAGCCAAGAAGCCGTGATGTTGATCGCAGTCAGATCCCCCCCCAGAGGGGGGGAGGTCAGTGATGGCATACGGGAAGCAAAGCAGGCCAGGGAAGAGCTTCCAAAATACCATCGCCAAAACCCATCATACCCCCAGTTTCATAGGGGAGATGCAGCCATCAGATTGCTTGGTCTCAGCAAGCGAAGTTCAAGACATAACCCGCAAGCTGAGCGACATGCAAAGCCAAAACATTGTATTCGCTAGTCTGTGTTCGCAATGGTCCAACATGCATGTGCTGTCTTAGGCAGCGTAGCTCTCTTTGATGAAGGTTCGCAAAACATACAAACTACAGAACTGTTCAGGACATTTCAGGATGTCATCGTCCCTGAAAGACCTGCAGTGCATTGCAGTGTGCACAGAGGAAAGTTGCAGCGAAACCAAGGCCGTAGTGCCACTCACCCAAAGAATAGGCAGGCTGCAGAATCACCACATCTTTCACTCACTGACGAACCATGCTGGCAGTCTTGTGCTGCTCGTGGGCGCCCCAGGCAGTCCTACAGGGAGCACCACCGGAGTGACCGGTGGAGCTCACTGCAGCACAGTCTGGTCCATGGCATCGGCCGGCTAACTACCGCCCCTCTCGGATGTATGCAGCTACCCAAGCAGAGTACCCAGACAGAGGACATACCAAGGAGGCCCAGAAGAAAAAACGAATTAAGACAGATGACAAGAATGCCCCGCAAAGAGAGGAAGGTCAGATCAGCAAACCGGGCAAAAGCAAAGAGACGGGTCAGATGGGCATCAATTGTTGGCTGTCCTGAGTCACCTTAGTGGTTCACAAGGATGCTGTGACAATACTCTCCAGTCAGTACTTATAATAAACACACACAAACAAACAAGTCAACGATGTTCACACAATCAACTCTAAGCTCCATTCGCTAGTACCTGAGTAAGAGCAGGGGAGGGTACACAGTAGGAAAGGACACACAATTTTCAACAATGACGCGAAACGGCAAAAAGTAGCCAAGCAAGAACAGGACCGGACATCCAGCCCAAGCAACAATAACAGGAGGGGGGTGCCGGGGTGGCAGCGGAGGAGCCCCTGTGTGGGGTTTTCACCCTCTACACCATGTTGCAGGTGATGGCTGGGAGCTTAGTTTGGCCACACTGAGGTATTCATCAGGATGATGATCCAGTTCCCATATCGGACTCCGCTAAGCTGCACTATTGCTATTCTAATGTGATTAGTGCAGCCTACGGAGGGATAACAGAGCACAACCACACTCCCAGCACGAGAGCAGGGCAACTAAGCCGTCACAGCTGCAACCAGATACCCAGAGGGAGGTACCAGCAAAAACTAAGTAACTGGACCAGGGCACCAAACAGGACGAACCGCGGGGGGAGGGAAACCACAAAGGGCAAAAGAAGAGCCAACTGCAAAGCGAGAAAAGGACAGAACCAGCAGGGCCCACTCAAGCACATCAAAGAGCACAACAGAACCAAGAAGACAACAAGACGCACCGACAGGAGTACAACACAGCGACGATCCCAAGAGCCCAGCAGGGCACCACATTAAGGGGACCCCAAAACCACCAAAGAGACAGAGGGCGGCACAAATCGTGCTTTGGTGGGGTAGTGCGCTTGACCTTAGTAGCGGCGTATGGCGATTCTGAATCATGTACTAGTTTAGGGGCGTGCACACGAAAAACGGAGCAGGACCAGAGGAATCAAATGAAAGAGTGCGAGTGCACCTGTCACGTCTACGGACAGACACACACGAAAAAGGAAAAGCAAGTCCAGACACCAAAGAATGGGGAGGCACTACTGTAGTTGC